GAGAGAGCGAGCAAGCAAGCGAGACTGGCTGACACTTAAAGGGCTAGCGACTCCCTTATGTGCTGTGAGAATTAATCAGCGCTGTGGCTCACCATCTTCCTCTAGGCTAAGGCAGAGCCCTCTGCGAGGTGTGTGAGGATGAGGAGGAGGGAGTGGCTGATGACTGGCTAGTTAGGAAGCAGTGCAAGGCCAACTGATGCAGGAGGGACCCCACTTCACTAACTAGAAATGCCTGGGCAGGCTGTGTGGCAGCGCTGCACTTGCAGGGTGTCTTCTGTGTCCCGTGGCCTGTCTGGCTTGGTCTTTCCCCAGCTGTAAAATGTGGGGTCATGGCACCTCCCTCGCCAGCGGGTGAAACTGAGGCACAACACTATGAAGGAACTTGCCAGGGGTCATGTGGGGAACTGGTGGGAGGTTGTCTGAGTTCGTCTTGGCTGACCTGACCCTGAGGCTGTTGCAGTCTCTTGGACAGCACAGATCCTGCTGCATGGAGAGGGTCTTGGCTTGTCCCCCTTGTGTGTCCCCAGATCCGCTCTGAGCTGGTCAGAAAGGGCATATGCTGAGCTGATTCTGTTCTATTTAGAGTCCTGGGGGTTGGGTTGGTGCCCAGTGCTTCTGGCCCCTGGGTGGCAGAAATAGCTGTGTGCAGCATATGGGCAGCCCCGCATCCTGCAGCAGAGCCCTGGCAGGGCTGGTGGCCTGGATATGGAGTGGTAGGTGATCTCTTTGCCCGTGTCCAGGAGGGGGCTTCTTCTGTGGGCAGGGTGGTAGCTGTGTTCAACGGAATGAACAAGCAGAGAACAACACAGCAGCTTCCACAAGCAGCTGGCTGGAGTGCCCCCCCCCCCCCAAGATTGAAATGGAGTGAAGGGGAGTGTCTATCTTTGGAGCCCACATTACAAAAAGACAGGGGGTGTCTCTGGAAGTCCTGGCATAGGATGGAGGGTTGGGATACAATTTGCCCTGTTCCTTTCTCAAGTGCAGGAGCCATCTTGCACGGCTGGTGGTTTGTCAGGAGCAGACGCTGCTCTGCCTGACTCTGGCCTAGTGACTCCAAGTGCACTTGCCGTTTCCTCTTCTCCCTTTGTGGTACTGCGTTAGCTCTGGGACAGCTGCGGAGCCTCACTGGGATTAGTACTCCCTGCTAAAGCGAGTTTTGTCATGGGCAGGGGCTAGGGGTGAGCCGTGACAATGGAGGCTACAGCTGCCCAGGCAGCCCATTGAATTGTGGGTGGGACTTGGTGGCTCCCCAAAACAGAGAATGGACCCAGCACGTAGGGATGTGAATGTTCTACCAGTTAAGATTAAGCAGTGGGGCTGGGCAGGGGGCTCCAGCCCACGTGGGGCTTGCTGTAGACGGGCTAGAGCAGCCCCTGTCTGCAGCAGAGTGGCTGGGTTGTCACCTCTTGTCCCTCGGATGAACCACATGCTGGCTGGGGTAGGCACTATGTCACCTGTGTGCTCTGTAAAGTACCAGAAAGGCTCTTCCAGTACGAGCAACAGCTGCGAGATGGGCAGTAAGACTTGGGATGCTAAGACCCCGAGAGCTCAGTATGTCTCTGCTGGGAAACGCCTGCAAAATCTTAGAAATGTAGGCGTGGAAGTGACCTCGAGAGCCTCTGCTTCAGCCTGAGGCAGGGGAAAGGTTAACCAGAAGCATCACCCTAACGGCGCATCCTTGAGCCACAGGGAGTCCGGGTCCATTGCAAGCAGGGGCTGGGAACCCGGAGCCAGTGGCAGGCCCAG